CAATTATATTCACTGTATAGCTAACCAACTTTGTTCAATATGTTTTATTGGTCCTTGAAACAGTGTGTATTAAGTTAGCAAAAAACAGCTGATTCTCAAAATTAGAGTTACGTTGTATGAAATAGTAGCACTCAGACTAATTACTGTCATCAAGCAAATTTTCCCCAGGTGACTGAACTATCAACGGTACACACTACAGGTATCTGTTAGTATATGTAGAGCTAGAAGTCGCTTACATCACAGTTTATAGACAGCTAGAAGTCGCTTACATCACAGTTTATAGACAGCTAGAAGTCGCTTACATCAAAGTTTATAGACAGTTAGAAATCGCTTACATGACAGTTTATAGACAACTAGAAGTCGCTTACATGTATATAGGTTCGTAAGAGTTGCTTAAATTTCCGTCTAGCTGATCTACGATATTATTCAAACGTCTCTCTCTCTCTTTCAGATTTTATTATTTCCCCTCTTTTTTCTGATATTCCGCTTCAAGTAATTTAAATTTAGAAACCTTATTGTGAAAGACATTCAAATTAATATTCGTCTTGTTTCTCCAAACACACAACTATGAGTATGTGTTGAATGTAATTTGTTTACGACATTTGAAATTATGGTATTCGATTGACCCATCGCCATTAAAGGCGAGGCTTAGCTATACATAGGAAGTGCAGTAACAGCAGCCACGGGTTATGAAAATTATTTCGTCTAGAGAACAAGGCAGTGAGCCGAACGTGCAAGCAGAATGACAGTTTTTTTTTTTATGAACATCGATTGATAATGTTGCCTAAAGCTAGACAAGTCTCATAATCTATCAAGATTTAATCATCATTCTTGCTGTTCGTTATTATGCCTCAAGCTTAGAATTTTATAACTTGTATAAAATTCGATAATTGTCAAGCACGGTATTAGCATTTAGGCGGTAAGGAAGGGACATTCCCTGTCTTTTTTTTGTTAATATATTAATCACGAGTCAATTGTATATCTTGAGTGCGCCCGTGCCAAATCTGGGTGTTGAGAAGAATATCGCGAAGAGTAAAAATACTCCATCACATGCTTCTCATTATCTGTCCTCAGTCAGAAATATAGCACCTCCATCGCAGAGATACGTTCGTCATTATAGGTCTTGATCCAGAAAAGAAACACCTTCGTATCTGGCAGGATGTTTTGGTTGATCAGCACTACTTCGTTATGAAACACCTTCGTATCTGGCAGGATGTTTTGGTTGATCAGCACTACTTTGTTATCAAACACCTTCGTATCTGGCAGGATGTTTTGGTTGATCAGCACTACTTCGTTATCAAACACCTTCGTATCTGGCAGGATGTTTTGGTTGATCAGCACTACTTTGTTATCAAACACCTTCGTATCTGGCAGGATGTTTTGGTTGAACAGCACTGCTTTGTCATGAAACACCTTCGTATTTAGCACGATGTTTTGGTTGACCAGTACTGCTTTGTCATGAAACACCTTCGTATTTGGCAGGATGTATTGGTTGATCAGCACTACTTTGTTATGAAACACCTTCGTAGTTAGCAGGATGTTTTGGTTGACCTGTACTACTTCGTTATCAAACACCTTCGTATTTGGCAGGATGTTTTGGTTGATCAGCACTACTTTGTCATGAAACACCTTCGTATTTGGAAGGATGTATTGGTTGAACCAAAACATCCTGCCAAATACGAAGGTGTTTCATAACAAAGTAGTACTGGTCAACCAAAACATCCTGCTAAATACGAAGGTGTTTCATAACAAAGTA